CCACTAGCTTCATGTCTGCAGTCTTGTACTGAGCATGGACTCTTACACGAGATCATCCATCCCATAGTGCCTTGAACTATCATTAGTTCTTTCATTGTGTGAAGACAGGCACGTGCTGGGGAACGCTTGACAACACAGTCCCAGTGCTGATCATTTTATTTACAGATTTCTCAGTTTATCTCTTTTTTTAAACTTCTCCCCAAATCTTACTTGACTTGCAGCTTGCTCTGTGTGTTACATGAAAGCTATGATGGAAGAAGTGCTAGAGCAGGAAGGGATGATGGTACACCTAGAATGGGTTACAGCCTGGGTTTGGAAGAATTGTCCCAGGAAGGCAGTCTGGCAGGCTGCTCTGGACTGTGTTCACCAAAATTAACCTTAGGCACAGAACGCCATTTGAACGCTCCCTCAGGGGGTGAAGCACTCCGTCTGGGCTCCTAGTTTAAACTCTGCTGGAGACTGTCTCAGTCTGTTGACTGCAGAGCTCTAAAAAACAGCCTCCTCTGCCTTCAGTTAGCTTTTGGGAATACAGCCAAAGGGCTACCGTTGCCCACAGAGGGGAGGAATTCTCCCCCAGCAGATTTTGAGACTCCTGACCTTTCCTCTTCATGTCCTCTGTCCCTTTCAAGTAAACAGACCTTGGATCTTTCCTATGAGAATCATTGGAAAGCCATGTTTGCATCTTTAAAATGGTTTTTTAAGAAGAAAGGTGAAATACTGTCCCTCACCTTCCCCTAAAGCAATTGAACGTAATCCTTACGCAAAGAGACTTTACCCACATCTCTGAGTCAAGCCATACAGAAGTGGTGATAGCTTTGTATTTAATGGATGAGGCTTGGAGAGAGACATGAGTCCATGTCGTGTCCTTGTTGTCGTCGTTCCCCCAAGATCACATGTTCTCTTAATGAGTAATTAACATCTCTGTGTCACCTTCCCTTTAAAATTGGACAGTGAGCCTGGTTCCTCACCCGTAGCAAAGAAAACAAGTGGGGCATGTTTCTTTTTTCTCCTAATGGCAAAACCCACAAACACATCTTACCTTCAGCCAACAGTTTAGCCAATTATGCAATCTGCTATGTGGGTGCACAATGAAAAAACACAGCAGAAACATTATGATGTTCTTAACTCTAATTAAGAGATAAGATTCACTATTTTATTTACCACTCTGTTGCCTCCGTTGGTCTTGTACAACATAGCTTTTGACCCATACTGGTGCTCCTAGGTTTGAAATACAGAGTAGGGAGAAAGAGGAAAATCCATTCCAGACTGATCATTTCCTTTTCCTTCTCTCTGCTTCATGTCCCATCACCCTCCTCACACGTGCACGCTCGGAAGCATGGCGCAGCTGCCCTGCAAGCTGGTGCAGAGCATGCACAGCACCTTCTCCCCCTCCCAGCATGGTCGTCTTAGCACTTCCACCCACATCTGAGTCATATGGAGGAGAAAATACAAGCCCCTACAACTGCCATCTTAATACTATGGGGTTTTATTTATTTCTTTACTTTAAGTCCAAAATCTTAATATGTTGGTTTTTTTTTAACCCAGAAGTATTGTGCCTTTTGATTCAAGTCTGCTTCACAGATGTGCAGCACAAAGGACTGTGCAGTTTGAAGGCTCATCTAAGCATTGCCTGCTGTGGTTGGAAAGCGATTAAGTTTTGAGCTTGTACCCTTTCATCTCAAAGTGCCTCACAAACATTCATTAACGCAGCCCTGCAGAGGTTAGGAGCACAAGTTCCTCCCCTTCGTGGTTAGGGAGATTGAGGTCAGAGGGCTTTTTTGAGGTGAAAGAATAGCATCAGAAATTAAATGCCAGTGTTGCAGGCTCTGAATATCACCCCACAAGCTCTTAAAGGATGGCTGGGATCCAAATGTGCCACCTCTGTAGCGCTACATCACCAGGGAGCAATAGCAGACGTGGGGGGCTAATCCCTTCTGTAGTTCCTAGAGTCCATTGCAGCAAAAAGGATAACATTTGCTTCCAGCTGTTTTCTTTCCAGTTATTAATATTGCTGATAGTAGTAGTAGTAGTAGTAATAGTAGAATTAGTATTATTTGCTGAGTCTCAAAATATAAATAATTGATTTGGGTAATCTCTGCTCTTGTGACACTTTAATGAAATGTCTTCATTGGGAGCAAAAGAATCCCATTATGAGACATTCATTCATTGCAGAGCGATAACAAGGAGAAGGATATGTGATTTGTATAATCTGGTTAAATGGCTCAGATTGCCTAGCCATAGCCTCCCGGGTATAATATTCGTTTGAATAAAAGTTGATTGAATTTTTTTTTAACTAATCTTATTCTTTTGTTAGAGCCACAAGCAACCTGCTGCCTTTATTGTAACCCAGCACCCTTTGCCCAACACCATAGCAGACTTCTGGAGGCTGGTGTTTGATTATAACTGCTCCTCTGTTGTGATGCTGAATGAGATGGATGCAGCCCAGGTAAGCCATTTTTCATCATTTCTGTCATGTAACTTTCTTCTCAAATCCAGATGGTTTTAAGAGCATTTCTGCTGCTGTTTTCTTGTGCCCCCCCCCCCCCCCCCCCCCCCCCCCCCGCCCCCCCAAATAAATTAAGGCAACTGGAAAGTTACAGGTAATGTTTTGGAGTATAATGAAGGATAAGTCCACATGCTTGGCTCCTTCTAAGGCAGCTAATTCTTCCTAGAATTAACAGGGATTAGATATCTAAATACTTTGTGTTTGTAGACCTAAATCTTCCTCCCAAACCTGCTTTCTTCCCTTTCTTATTTTTGTCCTTAGTTCGGAAAAATGTTCCCTACCACAGCCCTAGTGTGCTTCGTGCTTGCCTGTTCACATGGCATTTCCAGAAGAATATAACCAAGAGAGATGCTGAAATCATTTGCAGGATCTTTTCCCTGAGATTTCCACCGCAATTCTGTAGTACTGAGACATGTGGTTTGCACGTGTCTCTTCACAATGGAGAAGCACTTTTTTTTTTTCTTTCTAGTGTCATGTGCAAGTCTGTTTCTTGGCTTCTAAACACACCATTATTTTCAGGAGTTGAGGAGGGAGGGGGAGCTGCTGCAGTTCCTCCTGTACTAGGATTTCCAGCCACCTTGCTGATGAGTGGCAGAAGATAACAGCTTTCAAAAAGGCATAATCATGCAATTTGTGTGAAGAGTACATCTGGCATGGCTAATTCACCCATTACAGCACTTGTTAAACAAGAGGAGAGGAACCCTCAAGTAGTTGGTACTTCATGGATTAATTTTTCATTTGCCTCTTCACTGTCTTCAGTATCTTACCACACTTGAAGGCAGTGAGATTATTGGTCTCATTTTTTGATGGTAACGGAGAAACCAATCACCCCGTTTGCTGAGAGGGTCTCCCTTCAGGGTGGACACTGTGGGATTTCATTTCCAGCCGCAGTAAGAGCTCTGCTCAGAAGTGGGCTCTTGGTGACCCGCAGAGTCCCACCACTGAGCGAGGAACTGGAGGTCCTGTGCATTTGCTGCCTCCTGTCCGATTCACCCAGCCTGATTCTGTGTCTTGGCATTGAATCCAGAAGTGGATTTCATCTTTGCCTTTTTTTCTGACACTTCAAGGAAAAACACAGCTTTTTCTGGAAATCACACACTTTCTCACGCTTCGTTCTTGGAAAACACAAACCTGTCAGCCTCAGCCAGTGTTATTCTTGCGACTATCTTTCTGCACAAGACTTTACCTGCTTTGTTTTTTTCCTAGCAAAGTTCTGTTTTTATGAGGTAGTCTGTAGGCACAGAAAAGGAGATTTGGCGATACATAGTCACTTGGTCAGTTATTCTAGTGTGGTGTCGCCTAGCTCAAGCCTGCAGCCAATGCCAAAAACACCCAGCTAGCACTGGAAGTTAAGGATGATTTTAAAGTTTGTATCTTACGAGCTTTCAAGGCAAGGTGTGACAGTTTGATATCAGTTGTGAAAGTGAGGTTTCTGAAAAGGAAACTTAACAATGTTGTGCTTGCACTGTCATTGTATGACAATGTTGTAATTATCTAGCTGTTCATCATTGCCTAATCCAAGCGCTGTACCCTAAGCACTACAAAACCATCAGCGTACAGTTGCCTGCAGATACCATATCTGTGTGCATGAGCCGGGTGTGTTACTTATCCCCATGAGTAGAACACAAATACAAAAACTGCTTATACAAAAGCTGTGCCTGAACTGTAGAGAGGAAAAGAGTTAAAATAAATAGGTAAGTGAACCTTTAATCCACTATGCAGGGAAAAAGTGCAAATAAAACCACGTGGAGGTCAGAGAACATAACAGACCATTTTAAGCGCAGTCTATACATATACATTTGGGTAGATGGCCATTCACAGACCTGCTTTATGAAAAGCAGATTTTCAATATTAAGGAAAGGTTTAATCTTTTTCTTCTGTCCAATGCACCTTGAGGTTGTTTCCTAAAGCACCTGCTCAGCTCAGCTCTCCTTGCCTATTGGACAGGTGCTTTGAGAGGAGATGTGTAGGCTGCCTGAAAGTCTGAATGCAGAGTAAAGACAACCTTCAAAGGAGGACTTGCCTATGTGATCTTGGCTGGCTTGTTTAATCTTGAAAAACTAACAAGGGCAAAGATGCGTAAGATTGCATGAATATCCCACCCAATTTCAATCCCTTATGGTCAAAGGAATAACAGGAATACAGAATTAATGCAGTTGCATGCATACACTTGATGTTACTACTGGCAGTGATTGAACTTGAAAAGCTTGAGATCAAGTTCAAATGAGCATCTGAGGGTTTCAAAACTTCTAAAAAATTACACTTGAAAATAGGAAGAAAAAAACCAGAAAGAACTACAATCTCAGCAGAAACTGCTAATGAGATCTCATGCAAAATATTTTCTTGCCATGATCTATTTCCAGATGGATTTGAAATACTTAGATTGTAATTTGTGTGGATAGGAATTTTTTTGTACTTTCAATTCAGTAATATCAGCATAAGAAAAAAGACTTCCAACCTGCTTCACGAACTTCAGACATGCAGTCGTGGTTCACCCTGAAATTGGAGTTGCTCTCGTTGCTCTCAGAGCAAACTCATTCTCCCTCCCCTGCTCGCTGGTAGAGTCAGAAAGCTAAAAAGTTCATCTTACAGAAAAAAGTTCCACTTTGCTTGAGTTAAGATTAATTTTCTTGGTGCATGTACTGTGTCCTCATTAACACCAAACCTCTGCAGTTCCTGTTAAATTTACCTACAGACACTAATCTTTTAATGTTCATTTTAAATTTATACCCCTACAGGAGCTTCATTTGTCAGCCACCTTCTCTGCACTTTCAGACCCCAGAATTCAATCAGTTACAAATTGTGTTCATACAAAGAAAAAGGGGAAAAAAGTCAAGCTTCTAAAATATATTTCTTTTTTTCTTCATATTCATGATAAAACCCCCTTTTACTCAGCTAGAAGAAAGACTTCTCTGAGGAAATACGTGTAATACAAGATTGGTTATGGATTTTGAGCTGGTTACAAATTCGAAAGGAAAGAAGACTGAACATGCATTTCCTTGTTAATAGTTAAGGTGCTTTCTGTTTCTTTCGGCGTTTTCTCCAGCTCTGCATGCAGTACTGGCCAGAGAAGACATCCTGTTGTTATGGCCCAATTCAAGTAGAGTTTGTTTCAGCAGACATTGACGAAGATATCATCAACCGGATATTCCGGATCTGCAACATGGCCAGGGTAAGATCGGTGAAATACCCGTTTCCCTATTTATTCTCAAAAATATATTTTGGCACGAGGAAGAGGCAGAACCAAGACTTGTGGTTTAGAGATGCTGAATCTCTCAGCTAGGAACAAAATTCCACTGCAGAATTCAGTAGCTACTTCCGTTAATTAACATTTAATTGCATCAGTCTGTATTGGTAAAAGACTCTTGGCTGAAATTAGAAAGTGGATGATATGAGCTGAAAATCTGTATTTAAACGGAATGCATTTTTCTATGTATATTTGAGAACAATGAATCACTTAGTAGCCAATATAAAACCATCAATATTGTAGGAAATAAACTGGGATAGTGTCAGCAGCTCTCCATCTGTCAACTGCTGTGCCATGTCTCTGAAGACAGATGCAACGTTTACTGGCTAGACTGGGATTCCCAATTGCCACTGTTTTTCCTATAAATAAGCAACTGCCATTTCTGTAAGCAACTCTTCATCTGTATCCCTCAGCCCCAGGACAGCTGAAATGATAGAAACAAAGTTTATCTGCACGCTGGACCCTGGCAATGCAAATTCAGGGCTGCAGGAAAGGGTTTCAGTAGAGGATTTTTCTCTCATTAGTTGTTTCCAAGACTGATTATGTCTCCTTTTTTGTTCCTTTTTCATTTTTTCTAATCAGAAATGGAAACAGGCTCCACAAATTACATTTCCATGCTGTTTAACACATCCGTCTCTGATTGTGTGGTCAGAGCCTGTGCGGCAATTCAATCATGGCATTGCAGAGTGAACCTTGTGGTCCAACTACACGAACTGATATATCAGTTAGATATTCACCTTCCTATATCTCAGGCCAACTGCCTCTGAACCAGGAACGGCCTGGAAGTCATGTAGCTAATAAGAGCAAGGCTCTGTGACTCTCAGGATGAAGCTGGCTCGTAAACGCGTGGCTGACAGGGTGGAGACTCTGAACTCGCAGCTCTCTGCACCCGTCTATGTTCAACACCAATGGCTGCTGCTAAAATCTTTATGAGATCCTTTCCTGCCACAGTCCCCAGAGACTTTTTGAGGGCCTTCTTTGCCTTTAGTTCTTATGGCACAACTAACTTCCAGCACAGGCTACCAGGAAAGACGTATTTGATCTATTCATACAGTTTGATGAGACTTTATTCTCTACTGAAAACAAAACAAGGGATCCTAAGCACCTAGTTTCTGCCTGGCTCTGTAATACCTGAGGTCATCATTATTACCGAGATTGCCGAAAAGTCCTTGTTTCCCACTGTATCAAGTATCCAGAGTGGAGGATGTTAACATTGATCATATCAGATTCACAGGGGAAGATGCCGTGTAACCAGTGCCCCCTGCTTTACCCTATCTCTCTGCTTCCTGCCCCATGCCGTTTAGTGTCTTGAAAATGCTCTTTGTTTTAGCCCCAGGATGGATATCGCATAGTTCAGCACCTGCAGTACATTGGCTGGCCAGCATACAGGGACACCCCTCCTTCCAAACGCTCCCTCCTGAAGGTGGTCAGAAGGTTGGAGAAGTGGCAGGAGCAGTACGATGGGAGAGACGGACGCACTGTTGTCCACTGCCTGTAAGTAGGACTGGAAAATGTCTGTAACCTCATGAGGTGCTGTCTGAAGAGCACTGATTAGGGATCTGGAAATTTGGTGGTTTGCCAGGCTTCATCTGGAGAAAATGAAGTTAAATTACGTTTGTAATACACTTCAAGTTGAGTATTTTGCTACGTTATAGCATCCTGGCCCAGAGATTTTACTGATTGCCGTGAGGAGTAGCTGAAAAGCTCTGCTGCTTTCTGTTGCGTGGGTAGGTCTCATGACTGGAGCCCAGACACAACCAAAGCAGCCCTGCCACGTGTCCCGCTCCGACCATGGAGCTGCTGTGAGCCCCAGAGCAGTGAGGAGCAGCACTGCGGTCCCTGGGGCTTCCCTGTCCGCCACTGCCAGGGATCGGCTTAGCCCTTCCATCCCTGTCTCCTGCCGTGCAGGTCTCCACTTGCACAAACCCTTGAATGTCCTTAACCAGTCCTTACATTACAGACCTTTCTTAATATATGTGGTGTGTGAGCTGTTGTGCAAGCAGTGCTTTCCTCCATTCCCTCAGCCTTGCCTAGCTTCATGTGTTGCCTCTTTTGTTCTGCACCCAGGAACGGTGGGGGACGCAGCGGCACCTTCTGTGCCATCTGCAGCGTGTGTGAAATGATTCAACAGCAAAATATCATTGATGTGTTCCACATAGTGAAAACGCTACGGAATAACAAATCCAACATGGTGGAGTCACTGGTAAGCTTTTTTCCTGCTCCTTATCCTACCCAGCGTATGCAGGGGGAATTTTAGGATGGGTAGAAAAATTCCATGGCTTAGCTCAGTATGAATAAAGACAATCATAATGTAAAGCCATTAGAATTAAAACCAGTCCCATTTTAGCACATGCAATGAATTCTCTGGTCCCGCTGCTTCTCTCCTTGAGCAGACAGGGAACAGCTGCCCTGGCAGCGTGATGAACAATGTCTCCCACACCTAGCTGCCTCCAGGAGGTTAGACCCCAAGTAGCTGTCACCATGGGGAGGGAGTGGGATTTGTCCTCCTGTGCATGTGTACGGCCCGGTGCTTAATGCTGTGACATGCCTTGAAACCAGGAATGGAGAACAGTCCGAACCCCAGGCCTTGCTCCCTGCAACTGAAGAGATTAAACTGTCCTGAATTCAATCATCTCAATCGATCACACTGAATTCTTTCCTCAAAAGCAATGCGCATAGTGAGGGCATGAAGCAAATAATGAATAGTCCATACTGTGGCTGTCTCTTTGAGTGTTTTTCTCGTTCATTGACGATACCATCTCTTAGTAATGCTTGTTCAGGATCACGTAGAAATACAATTAATATTTGCCTGGTCCTACCAAACGGCATAAGAAAGAGGGAGAAGGCATTTTTTGCAGCTTGTAGAGTGAAGAATTTACCTGTATCCTAATGTCACTGATTTCTGTTCTCTCTTTCAGGAACAGTATAAATTTGTATACGAGGTTGCACTGGAATACTTGAGTTCCTTTTAGCCCAGTGGAGGGAGGGGAGCCTCCGAAATGCCAGACCCCAATCTCTGGCAGACGTTTCTCCCCTCTCCCACGCTGGAAGGCAGTAACAAGTGTGGGAAGGAAAACCTCTCCTTCCCGGAGCAAGAGACTGAGATTGCACAGACCTCGCTGGAAGGAGGAGATGATGCCTGTGTTTGCTGCTGCCTGCTTTCTATCAGAACATCTACTGCTTCTTAAATAACCTACTGTAAAAATTAGCAAAATGGGAGACAGACTGAAAGACTGGACTTTCTAATCCCCTCTGACTTCTTCTCTCCTCTTTTGGATTGTATTTTTGCTCTCCTTGCTGCAGAGTGGGGAAAGAATGAAACCCTTAGGAAATTCTTTTAAATGTCTCCTTTTTAATTTATAATTTTGTTCTCAAATCCCAGACTTTAATTTCTGAATTTCATGCAGCAGTCATTTGGGAAAAATGAGATAGCCATAGGGGATATATGAAATGTTTCATTACACTTTGTCTACCTTATCTGTTCCTTTTATTTGTTTTTCCAAATGAAAAGGCCAACACAAACAAAACCCACTGGAATTCTCTTTCCATATGTAGTCCCTTTTAGCATGCAAATAGATGGTGGAGATGAGAAGCTGTTCCTGGATTCACTGCCTCAGCTTCTACACAAATGTTTCCTCCCAGTTTCTGCTAGACTCCCAAGGCTGTGCATGAGCCGGTTACACCTCCCTGGTCTGTGTTCGGTTCAGTGCTGGTGAAGCAATACCGTTAATGAGTTTCCCAGCCACTCGAACCTTAAGGTTAAATATTTGCATCAAACAAATTGCATTTGTCTTGCAACTTTTGGTAACTTTGTTACCATATTGTTCAAGTATTTGCTGGGGTGCAGTGTGTCTTTGAAAAACAGGGTATAAAGTAGGTATTATTGACTGTATACTATGTATTATTATTTTTTATTTATTTGCTGTAGAACTTAGGACCCCTAGTCACGACAGGACCATGCTGAACTAGGCACTGTGCAAACAGAGAACAAAGGCAGTTCCGGCTCAAGAGCTTAAAATCTGAAGGAAATCTTAAAATCGGGTTTGGTCAGGATTTCCTCACTATTTCCAAACTGTTGTAGTCAGATGTAGTTGAGTGATTTATTCAGATTTCCAGGCCCTGCAAGCTTAAAAATGGTAACCCATCCAAGCTGTAGGAAAGGTGATGTACGTACATAGAAACCTATTCTGACATGTGTTAAGAAAAGTATTAGACCAGCACAGCAACTTTCCTTCTTAAGCAAAACAGCTTTTGTTTTGTTCTGCAAAAATGCCTGTGCAGCTCTCCTTCTTTGAAACAAACACCAGATGTGTTTTGCCATGGTTTCTGGATCTCATTCTGACTTCTTAGCAGCTAAGAAATTGCTTTACTGAAAGAGTATGTTTATGTAGTTAATCATTAAGGTCTAGAGGGTAATCTTGGGGAAAAAAAATAATTGAATGAACAAGGCCTTACAGTATTCAGTATTTCAATTTAGCCATTTATTTATCTTGAGGGTGCGGGGATACGAGGTTGCTCTGTGTGTAAATTAGATTCTGGGAGATGTAGATTTCTTCAAATACAGACTTACTGAAAGATAGACAGAAGGTAAGAGCTTAAGGAAACTCCGCTTTCTTACCACCCTGTAGTTTTCCACCCTCAGGTAAATACTCAGACTGTGCTGGGAGCTCTGTCATGTCAATGCCTGGCATAGAGCATGCCAGAAGTTAAAAAAATCTTGCTAATTCTCTATGTAAATTCAGAAGGCACCTCTACTTCGTGGTCATTCTTTTTTCAATAGTCGTACCTTTGCCTTGACAATGAAGGATGAAAATTGAATCTGATAAAAGCAACTCTCGACTCAAACATACCAGTATGTAACCAAATAGTTTTCATCTCTACCAGGACCTGCAACTGCCTAAGGCAGGATGCTTGGAACAGCAATAATCCTTTTCGTGCTAAGCAGAGGAGGGGCTTGCGTAGGACGCTGAACCACCCAGCTCATATTCTTTCCAAGCAGCTTTGGATTCTTGGCTTGTTCCAAGTGAGTATCATGAAGGTCTTAAATGAGCTTGAACCACATTGTCCTTGATGAAGCCAGTGTGCCATAAAGTATCGGAGATAACCCCCTCACAGGTGCCTCTGCTCTGTTTCTAGTTGGTCCTTTTTGTTGTCTGCAAGAAATCATGAAATCACCTTTAGTTCCTATTGGGGCTTTAGGTGAATGTTTGGCGTCTCATGAGACAAACTACTGGTTTTAATTTTTTTTTTCCTTTTGCCACTAAGCAACACAAAAAATTCTGCAGAAAAAATAGAAGGCAAAGCAAAACTATTAGAGAAAAAGAAGGAAGGCGTAATACTAGTGTTTTGATTGCAGGTGGTTTGCCGTAACAGTGTAGGTCAGGAGTTGGAGCTGTTAGCAAACAAGAGGGAAGAGGGAATCCTGATCCCAGAACGGGATTCTTCAACAACTGCCCAGGTAGGAAGAAACTACAAGTCAGCAAAGTGTTCATGACTTTGCTAACAGAAGAAAGCCAGAAGGAATCACTCCCTGTGGATACTATGGAAATATTAATTAGTTTTTAGCATTCTGTTAATTTTACATGGAGACTAGCATAGCGATAGGTCCCCATCATGAGTTAGTGAAGGACTAGTGCAAGCGCTGAGGGTGACAGCCAGGATAAAAGGAATAGAGAGGTAGAAGAAATGGCAATATGACTGAGATGTGAAGTGTAGGAGGTAGCATGGCTGAACGGTAGCGTGAAGGAAAGTGGATTAAAAAGCCAGAAGTAAGCCCACAGGAGGGATGTGCACATGGAGAGAAGCAGGTGTTGCATAAGCAGAGCAGAATAGCACTTGTAGTGGAGTTGTTTAAGGTCTTGGGGTAGGTTTAAATGTGTTTTCATATGAAAAATGCTATTAAAGGGTCAGGTGTGTGTATCAGCGTACCCACAGCAACTCACCGTGTGCTTTTAGCCCTCTGCAAGTGCAAAGTGATGTTAGCATAAACTGCAGGGGAAGATATTTAAGCTAAATTTTACCTTGTATTTGCAAGGAACAAGTTTAATGCAAATGTTGGTTACCACAGCCCGCCTATTAGTCACAGCTTATTATGTGGCAACTAGGCCGTGTGTCTCAACCTTCTTCTAATGTCCAGCCTACAATCCGTGTGGAAAGATGCTCAGCAAACACTACAGATTATGCTGCCAAACTGTTATATCGTCATGCAGTTACGTTGCTTATGGGGGACTGACCCAGCTCCAGTCTGTGTTGGCTCAGGGATCTTTATGCTGTTCCTCACTGCACAATGCATATATGCTAAATGTGAATTAATGATGAAGGGCATTGTGTGGAGAGAGAGAAGCAGCTCACTTTAAATAACCTTATTACCTTGAGGTTGTTTAAACCATAGAGAACAGCCTATAGCAAAATAGGTAATGTGATTGAAGCAAGATTATGGGTGATGGGTTTGTTTTTGCTGGGAAAGAGAGAAATTACGAGATGAGATAAAGGAGGCTTTCTCACTCCTGAAAGGATTACTAGCCAAGGCGAGCTTTCCAACCTAGGCATCCCCTGCTGTGGATAGAAAGCAATAATGTACGGCAGAAAATGTGAATTCCTCAATGACTGAATTTTAGGCTGGAAAAATATGATATTTACAATATTTGAGTGGTCATAATGAGGATAAACTTATTCCCAATTAGACGTCCTTCAGGGGTGAGGGAGCCCTGTTTATTAATAGCATAGTATTGGTCTAAAGCGTAACCTGAAATACAGGGAACTAGAAATAGGTAAAGAAGGGGGTGGAGCAGGGATGACTATCTCATACATGGGGTAACTAACATCTTAAATTATTAAGGGATGTAACTGAAGCAAAGAATTCCAGAGTTATCTAGGCTGGCTGCTAGAGAAGGAAGATCCCGAGTTGTCTGCAGGAAAGAGATAAACCAAAACCCCTAAAAGGTACAGTAGGTCTTAACAATCTTCTTTTTTTCTTTTTAGTTTTGTGTTTGGTGGCTTTGTGTTTGGTTTTGGGTTTTGTTTTTTTTTTTTTTAATAAAGATCTCTGCAGGAGCTGTGTCCTATGCTGGCACTTTTTTTCTTTTTTCCCCTTACTCAAATTATCTATAAGGAAAAGGGCGTTTGACCTCCTGCAAAAATAGACTTGAGGTACTTGTTTATTAATATAATGAAATGAGACCATGCAAGGGAGTACAATGTACATGTGAAGGTAACTGAATCAGGACCTCTGGTGGCAAGCAAGCAAATGGGAATTTGGTGGGTTTGTTTATGTCTCCAGATTGAAATAATTGGTATTCTCTGATCAGGGAAGTCTCTGGACTATGGTTAGTAGGAGGCCTTTCAATTGGTGATTGAAATTCTTTAGCAAGATTGCACAGAAATATGACTGTCTTTGCCATGCTCAGCTCCAGCCAGTTTTATTAATGCACTGGTGGGTCCCTCGTAGTTTATTAACATTTTAGCCATTTATGTGAGTATTTTGGTCCACAGGAAACAGGCAGTTAGCAATGAAAGATTTTTACATGCATTGAAAGCTGTAACTTTCGTGGCCTTTACCCCCAAATAAAACCGCGGTTTCTGTACCCCATCTCTCCTGCTCAGCCCCTGCCCATGCCCACACACACGGCCAGGTAACTCCCAAAAGGCAGACAGAGATTTTGGGAAATGCCTGTGACCCCTAATCAGTCTGGTCCGTGCAACTCTGTAGGGCAGAGGAGGGAATCCCAAAGCTTTTGCCTAGAGCAGCACATATTTGTGTGTCAGTAGTTTCCAATCTTTTATTCTGGACCTGTAAATTCCCTGAAAAAAAATGTCCAGTGGCAATGTGGACCTCACAGTAGTAGATTTAAGACTGCAGATGGTAGACTTGTTTTTCCACTTACTTTTCACAGGCCCTTTAGAAGTAGTTTGTGGGATTTCCCTTGGGAATCTCAAGCCAGGGATTGCTGGTCACTGCTCCTGATGTCCTGTA